ATTCACAGATTCTGTATGATTGAATTCATTATACTTGCTAAAATTTATTTGTAATCCCAAAATCAATACTCATGGCACTTTTGCGGTCATTTATGGATATGTGCAGAGGAGTGAAAAATTTGAGCTGCAACATGAAAGTTCCTAGCTGAGATAGATACTTTAACTTCTTATTTTAGCTCTTATACTGTAAACAAGTATCCTTTTCACGGTCTATTTAATGCCATGGTTTTTTTTTTTTGCATTTTTGTGCTTTGTTGGTGATTTCCCTGTTTAATATGGTCCCCAAATGTTAGTGCCATTTAGTGCTATCTAGTGTTGCTAAGTGCAAGAAGGCTGTGATGTTCCTTACAGAGAAAATTTATGTGTTAGCTAAGTTTTGTTCAGGAGTGAGTTACGGTGCTATTGGCCATGAGTTCAATGTTAATGAATCAACTATATATGCATATATATACATATGTAATAAAATAAGATGTCTTTAAACAGAAACACACAAGGTTATGTATTGATTGGTTGATGAAAATGTGACCGGAGGCTTGCAGAAACCTAAGCCTGTATTTACCTTAGGAACAATGGTTCAGTATTTACTAACTCAGTGTTTGTGTGCACTTTATAAAAGAACACCTTGGGGAATAGGAGAATAGACTCCCTGTAAAGCCTTTTCCAGCTCATGAGTAAGCTGAGGAGAATACTATGTATCTTAAAAACCACATGCGGCAACAGGCTGGTCAGTGGACTGATTAAGGTATAGTTGAAAAATTAGTCTGTCAGAGTATTTTGAAATACAAATGTAAAATCACCAGCAATTTACAACACGCACAGGAAATAAAAACGTGAAACCTGTCTTTAAAATTTTGGTTTTGAAGTGTTGGTGAGGCAAAAAGACAATAAAACCAGTTCCCATTTAATTATGGTGTATATATTATCCTAAGTTAAGGCAGTAATTTTAACCATTGGAAATGGCTATAAATGTTTTCCTAAACTTGGGAGTTGAGGTATGCTAATTGTTATAGGCCTAATATGTCAGTATCTGTAAGAGGGAGAGAAATACTTCCACAGATTTATATTCATTTATAAATATAAATCTGGGAGAGGTGCAGAGGAAAATGGGCCAAATAGAGTCAGTAGAACCAGTACCTGGAGTCTGGGGAGACTTCTCGAAGCTAATGAGCTCATGGGTTGGGTAAGAGGGAAGAAGAGAGTCCCAGAGGAACTGACCAGAAGAGGATTAGCTTGTGTGGAGAGGAGCAGTAATTCCCAAACCAGGGAATCTGAGTCAGGTTTTGGATCTGGTGAATGGAGAATACAAGGCAGGGTATGTAAGTATAAAGTTGAGTCTAGAAGGGTCCAGTTGGTAAAGATCAAGTGTTTAAGTTTGACTAAAAGAGCACTTGGAGGCACTACAAGCTTTTGAGAAAGGGAATACCAGGTTCAAAACAATATTTTAAGAAAATGGTTCTTGCTGCTATGACAGTTTGCTGTGAAAAGAGAAGCTTATGTACATAATTCAGTAACAATTGTTAAAATGATGCTTTTTTGTGTGTTTTAGATTTTATTTATTTATTTGACAGAGAGAGAGTGAGCGAGCACAAGCAGGAGGAGCTGGAGAGGGAGAAGCAGGCTCCCCGCTGAGCAGGGAGCCCGATGCGGGACTCGATCCCAGGACCCTGGGATCATGACCTGAGCCAAAGCCAGACGCTTAACCATCTGAGCCACCCAGGTGTCCTGTGTTTCAGTATTCTTGAGATGCTTTTACAAAATGATCCTTGGAACACTCCTGTGAGGTAGCTTTTATTATTCCCACTTTATGTAAGGGAAAATGGAAGTCCAGAATATTGAGTAACTAGTTCAGGGTCACACAGCTATTTAGTAACTGTCTTGGGATTCAAATACCCTTTCTGCTGCACCTCAGTTTCAATTAAGGGTTTGGACGAGAATTGTTGTTGTAGGATTGGAGAAGGAAAGAACAGAGCTGATTGCTTCTTTCTTCTAATAAGAACTGATTTAAAGTATTGGCATAAAACCAAGTAGAACCAAAATTCTAGAGAAAAATTTTGTTGACGTGGGGAAAAAATATGATGAAATTCTTCAGAAAATCTTTCAGAAGTTTGTATTGTTCCTACTTGTAATTTCCCATTACTTTTCTTCCCCTGCTTTGGGCTTGAATCTGCAGAAGTTTATCCCATATTTACATTTTTAGGAAAGGAACATTGAACGTTGAATGATTCTGGCAAATGATTCAGTGTTAATAAACAAAAAGCCAGTAACTGTCTCTTATTTGAATATTATCCCAACAGATCAAATCTCAGCCGAAATAAAATATTTTGAAGCTTTACTTTTCATTTAAAACATAAGGTGTTGTGAGTGGTCTATTAAAAATAGTTACACAGTTTTGGGGTGCCTGGGTGGCTCAGTCGTTAAGCGTCTGCCTTTGGCTCAGGTCATGATCCCAGGGTCCTGGGATCGAGTCCCACATCGGGCTCCCTGCTCTGCGGGAAGCCTGCTTCTCCCTCTCCCACTCCCCCTGCTTGTGTTCCCTCTCTCGCTGTGTCTCTCTCTGTCAAATAAATAAAATCTTTTTAAAAAATAAATAAAAATAGTTACACAGTTTTGAAACTGCGAGGCACTTTAGAAAGCATCTCTAGGCTTAAAATTCCTATACCTTTCTCCACATCACCCTTACCCTTTCCTGCCTACAGATGAGGAAATGGAGATTCAGATTCAACTTAATATTTATCTGGACATGCTGCAAGGTACATTTGTTGATTTTTCTTAAATCCTGAGAAGTAGGGATTTTTTCTTTATTTTATAGAAGAGGCAACAAAGGCTTGTAGCTCAACAGTGGAGCAGAGAGTCAAATCAGTGCTTTTTGAGTGCAAGTACATGGCTCTTTCCGCAGTACTATGCTGTGTTTTAATTGTTTCAAGACTAGATCATAGAGTGTTAGGAGAGACTTTGGAGATGTTCCTTTTACCCTTTCATCCCATAAATAAGCATGGATTCTGGAGTTGGGCTGCCTGGGTTCAAATCTTAACCCTGTCATTATATTAACTATGTGACCTTGGGAAATTACTTATCCTATCCATACCTCAGTTTCTTTATCCATATGAGATAATGGCAATATTCTTAGGTCATTGGGTGGTGATTGTGAGCTTTAAATGAGTTTATATATGTAAAGTACCTAGAAAAGTGCCCAGCACATATCAAGTGCTCATAAGTATTACTAATAATTGCTATGAGGAACCTGTACATTGTACAGGGTAAACTATTTGTAAAGATCCTATTAGAATAGCTGAGTTTAAACTAGCATCCAGATCTTTGGCTCCTAGTACTGTAGTTTATGTGGTTTTTTTAAAATTAATTAATTTTTATTTATTTATCTTTTAGAGTGTGTGCACATGCGTGTGCACATGAGCGAGGGTTGGGGGTGGGGGGCAGAGGGAGAGGGAGAGAATCTCAAGCAGGTTCCATGCTCAGCATGGAGCCTGAAGTGGGGCTCGCTCTCATCACCCTGAGATCATGACCTGAGCCGAAATCAAGAGTCTGACGCTTAATTTACTGAGCCCCTGGCAAAGGTTTTTAGCAGGTGCCCCTGACAGAGTGTTTTTAAACAATTTATGTATCCAGTTCTCATTGTGGCCCTATAAAGCCTATAGGTCAAGTAGAAAGAAACCCTTGGATCCCTCAAAGTTGGTTCCTAGAATAGAGATCTCCAGTACTGTGTACATGAATGTCATTTATACAGTGGAATGTATTTCAGGTTTGTAAAATAAAGCAGGCTTCTCATTTACAAAACGGAGCTCTTCTTTTCCCCAGCCTAGTCTTTTACTTTGGCCGAGGCCTTTCTGAGGTCATTTAATACCAGAGGGGAAAACTGAACTTCAATCATAACTCTAACAGCCATTTAATCCTCCTCTTTTGTTTTGGAAATCAAATTGGCCTGCTGTGTTTTCCCACCCTAAAAATTTCAGCCCTAGGTTCTTCATCCTTTTGAGGATGATAATGATCCACACGGCTTACTATAAAGAGATTCTGTAAAGATCAGACAAGTCAGTGTTTACAAAAAGGCATTGCAAACTCTTGTTTAAATGATAACCTAATTGTAAAATGCCTGAAGTCTGCTTATTTTGTTACTTTCCTGAGAGGGAACCATGTCCCCCTTTTTGAGTCAGCCATTACTAGAGTTGTTTTGGTTCATGGATCAGGAATAGGCAGGGGTTCATCTTATCCTAAGAGAGATGAGCATGGGGAGGTTTGGTCCTGGTCCTATTTTGGAAGTTCTCTTTTCTTTTTTTCTTAAAAGATTTTATTTATTTATTTGGTGGGGCTCCTGGGTGGCTCGGTCATTAAACGTCTGCCTTTGGCTCAGGTCATGATCCCAGGGTTCTGGGATCGAGCCCCGCATAGGGCTCCCTGCTCTGCGGGAAGCCTGCTTCTCCCTCTCCCACTCCCCCTCCTTGTGTTCCCTCTCTCGCTGTGTCTCTCTCTGTCAAATAAATAAATAAAATCTTAAAAAAAAAAGATTTTAGGGGCACCTGGGTGGCTCAGTCGTTAAGCGTCTGCCTTCGGCTCAGGTCATGATCCCAGGGTCCTGGGATCGAGCCCCGCATCGGGCTCCCTGCTCTGCGTGAAGCCTGCTTCTCCCTCTCCCACTCCCCCTGCTTGTGTTCCCTCTCTCGCTGTGTCTCTCTCTGTCAAATAAATAAAAATAAAATCTTAAAAAAAAAAAAAGATTTTATTTATTTGACAGAGAGAGAGCATGAGCGGAGAGAGGGGCAGAGGGAGAGGGAGAAGCAGACTCCCAGCTGAGCAGGGAGCCCGACACCGCACTCGATCCCAGGACCCTGGGATCATGACCAGAGCCGAAGGCAGACGCTTAACTGAATGAGCCACCCAGACGCCCCGGAAGTTCTCTTTTCATGTACCCTGTTCTGGCAGGATTTCTACACTTCTATACATGGAGTTGGATATAATTCTTGACAGACATTTTTTTCTTTCTCTAGAGGAACCGGATTAACATTTCCCAGTGGGTTCCAGTATGCAGCCAATTGGTACCTGTGTCTTCTACACAGGGACAGTGGGGCAGGGCTCTGTCTGGTACTTCCCAGGTAAGGTTTGTTGTTTCTTTGCTTGGTATGAAAACCTTAGTGTTTATTTGCAAATGTCATATATTTATAGATTAACCAAACAAATTGTGTGATGGAAAAACCTCATGAGACCACTTCTGGGTCTCTGTGGTGCCAGCTCAGGACTGATTCCCACAGTATGGTGTCTAGGGCGTTGCTTCTAAATACCCCAGCAGTGGAACTTAGCCTAGGATACCATGCTACAGTCTGATGATTTTTATGTTGGGAATGTTTCCAGATATTCGTCTCAGAGTTAACTTCAGTTTTCTTTTTGTAGCCACATTGTGCCACTTTTATTTGGGGTAAGAAATGTTTCTTCGTTTTTTTTTTCTTTTTCTTTTTATGAACACAAAATCCAAAGGAACAATTATTTGAGGCCTTAGTTTACCATTGACCACATGATTCATTACCTTGGACCCTCCTTGAGAGTTTTTTCTCCTGATTTTTGTTAATTATACAAATAATTTAGTAATAAAGGAAATAAAAATCATCCATGACCTCAAATGTGAAAACATCTGCTGTTTTTTTTTCCAGTCCTTATGTGTGTGTGTGTGTACTAATTTTTTCCTTAGATACCTTAACAAATACCCACAGAATTTTTTTTTCTGGTGCGTTTTCACTTATTAGAGCAGACATTATTCATGTTAGATAGATTGCATAATTAAACTTTTTAATGGCTACGTGTTATTCTATTTACTTAGGCTTTGTTTGATATTAAAATTATTTCCAATATTTTTTTGCCATTGTAGACTTTAATATAGTTACCATTTTCTTGATATATAGTTTTTAAAATTTTTAATTATTTATTAAAGATAAGTTACTAGGAGGGTATACCCTGGGTCAATGAGCATGAGCAGTTTCTTTCTCCATAAGGTTGTTTTAATTTATAGTGCCACCAGCAATGTATATATAACTAGTCTTTCATTATTAACTCCTCTGAATTGGGTGTTTTAAAAAAAATTAACTGGGTAGAAAATGTTACCTTGTTTTGCTTTGTTTTTTGTTTTTTTTAAAGATTTTACTTCTTTGACAGAGACACAGAGAGAGAGGGAACACAAACAGGGGGAGTGGGAGAGGGAGAAGCAGGCTTCCCACAGAGCAGGGAGCCAGATGTGGGGCTTGATCCCAGGACCCTGGGACCATGACTTGAGCCGAAGGCAGATACTTAACGACTGAGCCACCCAGGCGCCCCCCCCCCCCTTGTTTTGCTTTGTATTTCTCTGTTTATCTGTCAGGGCTAAACATTTTTCTATGTTTATCAGTTATATTCTAGTTTGTAAAAATCATAAGCTTGTATCATTTCTCCATTTATCTATGGGAATTTATTTTTCTTACTAATTTATATGAATTCCTTCTGTAGCCACTAACTTCTTTTTCATATTTGATGCAATTAAAAATATTTTTGATATAAAATTGTGTTACAGAATTTATGTAAATATACAAAATGATTTAAAATAGTGTAATTCCCTGTAAGTAGTATGTAAGCCTTGCCCTTCTTTTTTTTTTTTTTTTAAGATTTTATTTATTTATTTGAGAGAGAGCAAAAGTGAGAGAGATCACAGAGGGAGAGGGAGAAGCAGACTCCCCACCGAGCAGAGAGCCAGATGTGGGACTCGATCCCAGGACCCTGGGATCATGACCTGAGCTGAAGGCAGACGCTTAACCGACTGAGTCCCCCAGGTGCCTCAAGCCGTGCCCTTCTGAGGACGTTTTGTTTGTGCCTGTACTTCCTGGGCTTCTCACTCACCCTGGCCCAGAGTAGGCACTAAATATATGTTGAATGAGTAAAGAATATGTCTGTACAGAGGAGGCATTCTACTTTGTGTAGTCATGCAGCTATTTCTTTTCAGAGTTGGGGTATGTTCTATGCATTTATGCATTGGAAACTTTTAATGGAATTTATCATAGAGTTCTAAGTCATTTGTTTTTGTGCATACATAGGTGGTGGAGGGGGAAGCTCATTATGTGACTCTCAGACTTGTGCCTCGTTCTGTGAATCAATAAACATTTCTTGAGTACCTAGTATGTACCAGGTACCGTATTAGGTTCTTGGACAGCATTAAAGCAGATCATCCATGTAAATAACTTAGGGTGGCTTATCTCATGCTGACAAGATGTAATTTTAGCCAATGTAAATAAACTGGACATTTTGTCATATTGACAAAATGTGCCTCATTGACACATTTTCCCACTTTGAGGACCCCTGGTTGGAACTCTGGTTTTCCTCAGGTACATGTCTGACAGGGAGACAGATTTAGCTCAGAATGGAGAAGAACTTTGTGTTAATTAGAATTGTGGGGTCATGGAATATGTGGCCTGCATTTTTATTTTTTTTTTAAGATTTTATTTATTCATTTGAGACACAGAGATACAGAGAGAGAGAGCATGAGCAGGGAGAGAGGGAGAGGGAGAAGCAGGCTCCCTGCTGAGCCAGGAGCCCGACGTGGGGCTTGATCCCAGGACCCTGGAATCATGACCTGAGCCGAAGGCAGACGCTTAATCATCTGAGCCACCCAGGCGCCCCTGCATTTTGACATAGTAAATTTCCTGTTACTGGAAGTATTCAGGCAATGATTAGAAGACTATATGTTAAGGGCACGACATAAAAGAATTCTTCATTGGTTGAGTGATAGTATCAGATGATCTCCAAAGTAATGTCCAATGCTATAATCCTGTTACCATTTTCAAAAAGCTAGGGACAGTGTATTCTCATCTCTGTCTTTCCTAAATAACCTTTTGAAGTTCTGTCATACTTTGATGAGTCTACTTTAAAAACATTTTTTTTAGGAGCGCCTGGGTGGTTCAGTAGGTTAAGAGTCTGCCTTTGGCTTAGGTCGTGATCCTGGGGTCCTGGGATCGAGCCCCGTGTCGGGCTCCCTGCTGAGCAGGGAGCCTGCTTCTTTGTCTCCTTCTGCCTCTGCCCCCCACTATGTTCTCACTCATTCTGCTCGCTCTCAAATAAATAAATAAATAAATCTTAAAAAAAAAAAAACGAAACAGGGCGCCTGGGTGGCTCAGGCAGTTAAGTGTCTACCTTTGGCTCAGGTCATGATCCCAGAGTCCTGGGATCGAGCCCCATGTCGGGCTCCCTGCTCAGCGGGGAGCCTGCTTCTCCCCTGCCTGCTGCTGCCCCTGCTTGTGCTCTCTCCCTCTCTCCCACTCTCTCTGTGTCAAATAAATAAAAAATCTTAAAAAAAACCCCAAACAATAAAAACTCTTTTAAATTTTGAAATAAATTACACTTACAGAAAAATTGTAAAAATAGTAGGGTTCCTGTATACCTTTCGCCCAGTTTTCTCTAATGCTAATATGTTCTATAGCCATAGTGCAATTATTGAAACTAGGAAATTAACACTGATATAATACTATTAACTAATCTATGTAATTTAGTCCAATTTTACCAGTCTTTTTTCCACTAATGTCCTTTTTTTGGTTCTTCAATTTGAGTTTGTTTAATATTTTCTTATAATTAGGTTATGCAGTTTTGGCTAAAGTGATTTTCCCTTCTCAGTGCATAATTACAGGGGATATATGATGGCAATATGTATTGTTACTGGTGATGTTAACTTTGATTACTTGATTATTAAATTGGTGTCTGTCAGGTTTCCCTACTATAAACTTACTATTTTCCCCTTTGTAATTAATAAGTACCTTGTGAGAAGTTACTTAGAATCTATGCAGATATCCTGTTTCTCAGCATACTTCTGCTCACTACTTTTAATACCCACCAGTGGTTCTTTTTTTAAGATATATAATATTAATTAATTAATTATTTTAAAAGTAGGGGCACCTGGGTGGCTCAGTTGTTAGCACCCCTACTTTTAAAATAATAAATAAATAAATAAATAAAGTTGTATTAATAAAAGTATTAATAAATAAATAAAAGTTGTAGTTAGAAAAAACACATAGCATTAAATTTACTATGTTAACCATTTTTAAGTATAGTTTAGTAGTGTAAAGTATATTCACATTGTTTTTATTTTTATTTTTTTAAAAGATTTTATTTATTTATTTGACAGAGAGAGACACAGAGAGAGAGGGAACACAAGCAGGGGGAGTGGGAGAGGGAGAAGCAGGCTTCCCGCTGGAGCGGGGAGCCTGATGCTGGGCTCAATCCCGGGAACCTGGGACCAAGACCCGAGCCGAAGGCAGGTGCTTAACGATTGAGCCACCCAGGCGCCCCGTATATTCACATTGTTGTACAATAGATCTCTAGAACTTTTTCATCTTGCTAAAATGAAATTCTATACCCATTAAACACTAATTCACCCCACCCCACCTCTGGCGCAACCACATTTCTACTTTCTGTTTCTATGATTTAGACTATTTTGGATACTACATATGAGTGGAATCATATAGTATTTGTGCCTTTGTGACTTATGTTGCTTAGCATAATGTCCTTAAGGTTCATCCATCCTTTTTTAAGGCTGTGTAATTTTCCATTATATGTATATACCACATTTGCTTTATCCATTTTGATGGACATTTGGGTTGTTTCCACATCTTGGCTATTGTGAATAATGCTGCAGTGATATAGTGTGCAAATATCTCTTCAAGGTCTTGCTTTAAATTCTTTTGGATGTATACCCAAAAGTGAGATTACTGCATTATGTGGTAATTCTATTGATGATTCTTGACTGCAATAATCATTACTGTGGTGTTTGTATAATGATGATTTTCTATTTCCATCATGACTATTATATTTATGCTTGGAATTCTACTGTAAGGAAGAGTTGTTACTTCTCCATTTATTTATTCAATTATTTATATCAGTATGAGCTCATGGATATTTATTTCCCTCTATGAGTTGTAATTCATCTTGCGTATTATTAATTTTGTTGATCAAATTGTCCCAGGTTTGGCTCTTAGGAACTCCTTCAAGTTCCTTTCTACATGCTTTCATCATTTTTGAACATTCTTTGTTTCCTAGCACCACAAGATGTTTCAAGTTCATGTTGTATTTTCTTTCCTTTAGCCCTAGA